TGAAGATCACAGCCCTTGTATCAGGACAGAATACTGCACAGGGCTGATATCTAATCACCTGGGATGCATTAGTGAATCTGAGTATGGGGGTGCTTATTATAGTGGGCTGGCAGGAAGAGGGCATCTAAGTGAACAAATGCTCCGTGGAATATGGGATAATTTGCTGCTGACAGTAGGGAGACCTTCCTGACCCACCTGGACAAAATGAACTCTATTCATTCCCAGGTGCAGGGCTCTTGATGGCCAGTCCATTTTAACCAACCAGTAACCGAGTCATGCAGGGGTTTTAAATATAAGATGAGAAACAATTTCCATGACTCTATCACCTATAGTGAAATCTCTTTTAAAACAGTCTCTTCACTATGTCGTCAGATTTCTAGATGTTCTCTATTCTCTGCAAAACATATTGGTGGATACCCACAACTTAATAAACTTTCTCTATAAGCATGGGCCTTTTTGATTCTGTGAGTTGAGTTGTATGACTAAAAGACAGTTGTGTTTGTTAACAAATTTATGGCAGTTGTAGTTTTTATTGCAATTGTACCATGTAAAGAAATATCTTGCAAACTGATATAGATGTGAAAAAGAGAGTTGTATTTCTATGAAAACTATGTAAATACTCTAGAAATACTCAAAAAAGGGAATTTGCTCAAGAAATTGCTGTTGATTAGATGTAGAGTATCTGTAAAAAAACTATAGGAGAAAAATCTCACAGTCATTACATTTTTATTCCACTTTAAAGTATGAAAACCTGGGGCGCCTGGGTGGCTCAGTTGGTTAAGCGACTGCCTTCGGCTCAGGTCATGATCCTGGAGTCCCGGGATCGAGTCCCGCATCGGGCTCCCTGCTCGGCAGGGAGTCTGCTTCTCCCTCTGACCCTCCTCCCTCTCATGCTCTCTGTCTCTCATTCTCTCTCTCTCAAATAAAAAAAAATAAAAATAAAAAAAAAGTATGAAAACCTGATCATCAGAGAAAGGACTTATGTGTGTGATTTTTGCAGATTATAATCATTAGACTCTTAACCCAAAGGAAAAAGCTTGGTTTGACATTTGAAGATTGGTGAATGGATGTACATGGGAAATTTTAGGGTACAATAAAATCATTCAAGAGTGTGTATAATTTATTTTATGATTCTCCCCTTTTAACTGATGTTTTAAGCTGATCAACAAACCTCTGGCCAAGTACACATTTAGTATCTGCTGCACGTTATCCAGGATGGGCCACAATCTCTCTCTTTGGGCTTACTGGACAAATTATTTCATGGGTTATTTTGTGCAGGAAGAGCTGAGATACTGGGTGGTCCCTGGAATTTCTACTCCACTCACATGAGATGGAATGGTAGAAACTTTTCCAGGTTTTTGTTTTGTTTTGTTTTTGTTTTAAGATTTTATTTATTTGAGAGAGAGAGAGAAACAGCATGAGAGGGGAGAGGGTCAGAGGGAGAAGCAGGCTCCCCGCTGAGCTGAGAGCCCAACGTGGGACTTGATCCCAGGACTCCAGGATCATGACCTGAGCCGAAGGCAGTCGCTTAACCAACTGAGCCACCCAGGCGCCCCACTTTTCCAGGTTTTAAACAATGACCAGAAAGCTTTGGAGGCATATGGCAGATCTACCAGTGGTGTTCTGATTCTGAACCAAATAGAATCCCAAACTTTATACAACCTGGAACAGGTATAAACATCACAGCTGCCCCTCCCAGCAAGGCAAAGGTAACACTTGTGTTCATTAAGGATTTAAGAGTTCTGCCATTTTCCTTTGCTGATTTGGGTCTTAATCTGAACCTGAAACTTCAGCTGCAGCATTTTCCAAGGGAGATTTCCCTTGCACTGCAGAAATAGAATAAATGAGGTACACTGAAAGGGAGGAGAAGTTAGTATACTTCCATCTTGTTTAAAAAATAAAATAAATAAAATAAGGTTGCGGCGCCTGGGTGGCTCAGTCGGTTATGCGGCCGGCTCTTGATTTCGGCTCAGATCGTGATCTCAGGGTTCTGGGATTAAGCCCTGCATTGGGCTCCCTGCTTGGCAGGGAGTCTTCTCCAACATTTTTTTCTCTCCCTCTGACTCTGCTCCTCCCACCCCCAGAAATAAATAAATAAATCTTTAAAAAAACAAAGAAGGTTTAAAAGAAGCAGAATATTCATGTCATATATAATTACCAATTTAATGTAGCATTATTTCTAGAATTGTAAGGCAGCCAAAATGATATTGGTATAGATAAAAACCCTAATGACTAATTTCATCATTGCCTTTGGGATCTACACAGTCATTACGATAGAAATGGATAATTGTGGGGACTGATTTCAGATAATAGCACTGCTAGCCCTGCATTTCCCTAATCATTCTTTCTTGCTGTGTGCAAATATGGAAAATATCAAATATACTGAAGTTGAAATAGAGATAAGGTAGTTGGGAGAGGGGAGAATTCCTGTCTCAGCAACTTCAGCAAAGAAAAAGCAGTATCAAAATTAGGGCAATCTAGGATGCCTGGGTGGCTCAGTCGGTTTAGCATCCGACTCTTGATTTCAGCTCAGGTCATGATCTCAGGGTCATGAGTTTGAGCCCCATGTTGGGCTCCACACTGAGCATGGAATCTGATTGAGATTCTCTCTCTCTCTGCCCCTCCCCCTCTGCCCCTTGTGTGCATGCTCTCTCTCCAAAAAAACTAAATTAAATTAAATTTAAAAAATAAGGGCCATCTTCCAGTCACCTAGGATGAATAATCATCAAAATGATGAATAGTCCTGGTATTTTCCTTTTCTCTCTAACACAAGGAGTGACAATTTAAATTAAAAAGCAAAACAAAACACCCATTGAAAATTCACCACAGAGGTATCCACACAGAAATGATGCTACTTAAATCAGAAGTATTTTGAGCCTGGTCTGAGAGGATGAAATATTTCACTAATTACTATGCAGTGTATTTATAGTTTTAATTGTTTTTTCCCCACTTCTTAATGCTTTCTTCCAGAAGCACAGTTGCTGAAGCAAACATTTATTTTTATTGTTTCATGGGAACAAAGCGGTAGTACCCAACCAGCTACTATAATTCTGTAAAATCGGCTACTGGAGAATTTTATATAATTTGTATCTTCGCCCCAAGGTGTGCCTTAGGGTCTGCCTTATTTTTTCTGTTTGAACTTGACAGAAAACAGTCTGTTAGAATGCAATAAATTTTAAAGGATACTGATAATACTTTCTTTCAACCACTATTTTTCAGGCAAATTTACTGCTCTCTTCTCTTCAAGAATGCCATCTAAAACCCTGAAACATTAATTAATCATTACACCAAAACATACTTTATTTGTACCCTTGAAGGAATATATGCCTCTTTAAAAATGACATCTCCTCATTGCAAAAATAATACATGTTCACTGTAGAACATCTGGAACACAAAATAAAGTACAGAGAAAAGAATTAAACCATAATCTCACCAACTAGAGATAAGTACTGTAAACATTTGGGTAAATTGGCTTCCAGGGAAAGAATATAATTCTTTATTAAATCTTAAAAATGATCTTCTATTCCTTAATAAAACTTATTTTCCTCAATAAAAAGTTTTGTTACAATTTTCCTCTGGGATTTGCATTTCTTATATCTTTGGAAAAGTATCTGACAGTGAACTTGATGTGCACAGCTTAAAATTTTGGCCGTATTGAATATTACCTAAGAGAGCCTAAAGTCTAAAAGAATTTGATTTATGAACAATATACTTATGTAAGATCATTGTTCAAAAGGATAATTTTAAAAATCAGGTCAGTTACTTTAAGAATGATGATTTCAAACTAAGCTTTGAGATAATCCTCGTATGTGCTTGAGGGAAATGTAGATGTGTTCAGTATATATACTTTATTTTTTTCTAGGTCAAATTTCTCATTTTTTAAAAAAGATTTTATTTTATTTATTTGACAGAGAGAGAGAATGCAGGGGGAGTGGGAGAGGGAGAAGCAGGCTTCCGGCCAGCAGGGAGCCCGATGCAGGGCTCGATCCCAGGACTCTGGGAGCATGACCTGAGCTGAAGGCAGATGCTTAATGACTGAGCCACCCAGGCACCCCAGTATACATACTTTAATGTGTCCCAAAGCAGAACAGTATCAGAAAATTCAGCCAAATGTGGGCCAATCTCTAGGGGCATGGAAACCTCTTTAAAAAGCTTCTGTGAGCCCCATAGTACAATAAAAGAGAAGACTCATGTTTCTTTGTTTTGCCCACGTTTGGAGACTCTGAGGAGTCTCTGAGGAGAACTATACATCTGACTTGATGTATAGTTCTCGTGCCCACATGTTGCAGGTTAAAGACATTCATCATGTGGAATCTTTTAGATAAGACCATCTTGAAAGTAAGAGTTGCAATTTTGAATACTCAAGAGCAGTCTGCCGCTGGTAACGCAGGCTTGATTTTGTGGTTTCTCTTAAAGTGACAACTTAAAGCTATATTTTGTACAGTCTCTTCCAAATGAATACAAGGAGAGGAGTACAAGGAGAGTGCCAGGGCTGTTCATATATATACGCACATACACATATATATTTGCACACACACACACACACACACACAGAGGCATGCGCACCCCTTATTAACATATTCCCAATATGGTAATCAAGTGTCTTCTAGTTTTCCGTCTATTTAATACAACTATCAGGGTATTTCATTTCTATACTCAGATGTCTTCATATAAATCCTTTCTGACGATGGGAAGCCTAAAGTGGGAAGAATTCATTGGAATACCCAACTCTTCTTTGCCTGCATGTGTGTATTCGACCAAGCATCACTTCACTGAGTAGTGGGTAGCAATGGAAACTTTTGCAGGAAAACACCAAGAATTAGAAGCAAGGCAGAATTAGCACATTCACAACAGACTTGAACACGGAGCCGAAAGATGGAGAGTCCAGGATCCTTACACCTCCAAGGAGATGTCCACTGTCCCCCCAGCGCACACTGGGAGGGCGAGTGAATGAACAAGAGCCTGAGAAGCACAGCGGCGGTCAATTGTGTGCTGCTTACCTGAGGGCCGTTCTGTAGTGGTAGATCGCTTCCCGGGTCCGACCCTGGTCCTTCAGGAAATTGGCATAGTTGTAGTGAACCTTGGCATTGTGGGGCAGGGTTTGAACTCCAGACCTACAATTAATACATTTAAAGAAAAGAAAAAAGAGCAACAAAGAACTGTATTTAGGAGCATCATTGGTTTCTTTCATATTTTACTCAAGTTTCATGAACCTGCATTCGGAACGTCCGTTATATCCATCTAAGTCAGGTTTTTCAGAATTTATGAATTATGTGACTTACTAAACATGCTTCTGTGGAAAACAATGAAGGCAGTGGGTGGTGTGCACAACTAAACAAACATGCTAACTTGATAGGAAGCAGAGGTGGCGGCACAGGGTGATAGATTATTCTCTGCAGAACAAACCTGCATGCTCAGGTTCATTCAGTTTTTTTTCCTTCCTTGCTTCTTTTGTGCACTTATAACCTTCCTTAAAAAAAAAAAAGTTGAGAGTGTCTACAAAAATAAATCATGACAAGAGGGATGACTGTAGACTGGCCTCCCTATTAAGTTTTATTGGAAATTAACATTTCCCATGTACCCAAGCCTGGGCTAATTAAAAATAAATAAATAAATAAATGCAAGTATAATTATTTTACAAGTTGCAGATAAGGAAGTGAGGTTTTGCTCAAAAAGGTAAAAACCCTGCTTCCATGGCCACTGTGTTAGTCGGCTTGGGCTGCCATAAGCAAATGCCTAGGGAATCCCTACAGGATAGCAGTGAAGCTTTGAAGATGATTCCAGGGGCAGGCAGGGCAGGAGAGGATCCGTTTCTTGTTTGTAACTAGCCCACATGTTTAACCTGCACAAGATTATACAGCTGGTCCAGTGGAAGAGGTGGGATTCTAGAGGATTCTAGCTTGGGTTCTAGAGTCCCTCGTTCCCTCAACGTGCAGGCAGGTGGTGGCAGGGGAATGATGGAAGATGGGCTGGAGGGCCACTTGGAAAGAAAACTCCCAGACCGTGCATGGATGAAATGTGGGAGGCGGACAGCTGATGAGAGAGAGCAAGGAGAAAAGCAGGACAACCTAGCTTCGGGGCAACTCTAAAGCACTACTACCTCCCCCACGTAACATACTTTCATTTAGTTTTGAAAGGTAAGATCAACAGAAGGGTTTCATACAAAGTGTTAAAGATCTCTTGGGGAAATATGTAAGGGCTTTGTGATCTTTGTTGAACCTTCCCTAAAATAACCAGTTCCTTAGGACCAGCAAAGACAGTCCCAACTTAAAACCCACTGGCTGGCCACCCCAGGAACTCTCCAGAGGACAGAACTTACAGGGAGTGCAAGAGCCTAGAGACTGACCCGAGGGCAACATCATCTGAAGGCAGCAGACTCCAAACTTAGGCAGGCTGCTTCGGTGCCCGCAAATGTAGGGCAGGTGGCTAGGATTTTGTGGTGGCTGGGGCATGGCTGATCACAGACTAAATCTGTCTCAGGAGCAGTTAAAGCCCAGATCGCCATCCTGACCCTGAACACCCAAGTGACTTTTTTCATTATTCCTTCCCCATTCCAGCAAAAGACAGGAGTTTTACTCTCTGGAAAAGCTGAGCTAGAGAGATCCTGTACTCGGGAATGACAGGTACCACCGAGGGAAGGGAGAAGGGTGGTACCTCAAAGGTAGCTTAGGTGAAGATTTGCATTCTGAACACTGGGATCTCAGTTTCCCCTCTTATAAAGCTCTCTGAATATTGGCGGCCGGGATTGGACCCCCAGGGAGGAGACAGGAGAAATTGTCTCAGTAGAAACGGACGCACCCAAGACAAAAGATTGACAAAGGCCGACGTTTGGGTGCTCCCGTGAAACCCTCGGTATCCTTCAGTCACTCTATGGTGAGACCCTACAGCTGCCACAGAAAGCCAGGATTTTAATGGAATATTTAAAATGGACAGTACGCAAAGTGAATTGAGTCACCGGGGAAGAGTCTGGGTCAGAGTGCTAGTAACGGCTTAAAAAACATTCCAATGTCTACCCAGGAAAATTTCTGATTTTTCTATCCAGAAATAAGTAGTGCATGGTACAAGGCAGATTTTAAAGGTAACTTTGATGTCAGCATGGATGTAACTGGCATATTGGAATTGATCCCTCCCTCTGTGTGATTAACATGGTGACTCTAATTTATGTATCACCCAAGGAACAGACAATTAGGCCTGTGGAAACATGGTCCTTGCGAAGATCGGGGCATTGTTCAGTGATGGCCAGAGGAAGTAATGATATTCGTAACAGGCAAGCAGATGTGGGGTGGGGTCACTGGAATCCGAAGAACACACTGCTTTTTCCATTGTTGTTTTTGACCTTTATGTTCTCTCTGTGGTATTTTTCTGCTATGTTTTTCCAGTCTCTCATTTTACAATGAGTCGTTTGTGGAAAAGGGGAAATAAGCAACTGGCCAAAGGCAAAAGTTTCCACGTAGCTGTAACTGGCCAGGCGGCTTCTGCTTCCAGAGCCAGTCCCCTCCTTTTGCTCTACAGATGCTACTGTTTCATAGCACAGTCGTTTTGGTGGAAACAGCAGCTTACATATATTTACTCTACAAAGACCTGTAGTATTCATTAAGTATGCAGTTGGAGCTCCATCCCCGTTCATAATCCCAATGCTGATTACAAAGAAAAATCTCCTTTCAGCTCAGGATCTTCATTCATGTACCTCACATTTCTCCCTCACACCTCTCATTGGTACAACACTTGAAAAATAACAAACATGACTCAAAAGCCTCTTCTCTCAGATATATCTCCAAGTTTATAGAACATCAATTTGTTTTGTTGGCATTGCTGGACAAAAGGTCACGAGAACCATTCCTGAATTCCTGATGAGAAAACAAACATTAAAACAAATAATAATAATGAGCGGTGTTCAGCCAGAGGTTAACAGGAAAGGAAAGTAAGAAGGATTTGTGATTCTCTTCAACGTTGACCCTGCTATGACCTGAGGGTGCACAATGCCACATCCAGAATGCCTAGTACTCACGGGACAGAATGCTCAGTCTGAACCAAGTTCCAGGCTAAGCACTCATTTCCCTGGATCGTCTCCTTTTATCCCTTCAATAACCTACTGGATGGGTAGAATTATGGTACCTCCCACACCACAGATAAGAACACTAAAGTTCAGAGAGATGAAGACCTTTCTCTAAAGTTTACAGACCGAGAAAAGTAGTGGAGCAGGTATTTCAACCAAGGCCAATATATGGTCAGAACCATTCCTGAAGCTGATCAACATGTGACGCTAAACCAGAAAGGTACCACAGGACATAGTAACATTATAATTTCACTATCACAATGTTTATCTCATTGCTAAGCAAACTATGGCCTTGTGGGTCGCAGGCGCGCCAATGTGTTTACCTATTATCTTTGGCATCGTTCCCGAGACAACAGCAGGGTTGAGTCGTTGCAAAAAGACACTATATGGCCCACAAAGACTAAAATATTTACCATCCATTCCTTTACAAAAGAATCTGCCAAACCTCAGTACATATTCTTGGCCCTGGGACGTTGGCTGATCTCTCTGGCTTACCAATTCAGAAAGGAAGAAACAGAAATGTGTTCCCTACAGAGATGGAGAATAATCTAGGCCAGAAATTCTTAATTGATGGTCTGTGGATCACTTAAATAGTTCATGAATGGGATTCAGAGAGACACTTAACTAGATGCCAATAAAAGAAAAATGTGCTCTCTGCCTTTTCAGGTATTTCGAAGATTTGGGGCATAGAGGGGATTTTACCAAAATGTGTTATTACAGTATTACTTATTCCAAACAAATGCAAAATTCGGGGCTGTTACCAGGCCCAGCTGGAGCTGTGCAGTGACCCTCTTCCCAGGTTAGGCTACCAGAACAGTTCCTTGTTATAAAGAATTAAAGAAAATATAGCTTGCAGCTATGATTAGGAACCAACCCCTCCCTCTCGCTCTCTCCCCCTCTCTTTTTTTTTAAATACTGGGCTTAGTTTTAGTTAGAAAACATAAAGTAAAAAATCAGCGTAGCAAGGCTTATGTATTCTTTTATATCAAATCCGGGTTCAAAGCCTGGCTTCTCCTCTTCACAGCTAGTTCAGCTTGGACCAATTACTCTCTCCAGGCCTCTGATAAGACACAAGTGCAGCTTCTTAGGCTGTGTGCAAGCTTCTTGCCTGTGGCACTACAAAGCTGTGAGGGGGGCCTTGCATCTGTACCTCCTAAAAATACATCACACGGTGGGATCTTTTTTGTAAGAGGACGCCTTGGCTGGAAAGGCTGGGCCTTGACGGAAATTTGGATTTTCTCCAACAAAAAGGTCTGTCCTAAGATACTCTGTAAGACTGTTCATAGTACTGCCAAGCAAAACCACTCCGTGTAATAAGAGAGGCCTTAATGAGACCCTATGTCCAAGGAACGGTCAATGAGTTCATTGTTTAGAACAGAGGAGAAGCCAGATGGGCTTCTGACAGGGGCATCACCTTATCTAGAATTATAACAAATTTTTCTTACTCAAATCAGCCAGTTCTTGGTTTTGATCACTGTGGCTAATTTAGGTTGTTTTCATCTTTCTGTACGCAGCTCAGGTCTATAAGGGAACAGTTCTTGAAGGCCTGGGTTGTTCTTAGCAGCCTGCTTGTACTTACACAGTGTCCTGCTGCCTCTGTCTACCACCTGCTATGTTATGTTAAAATGTGTTTATGTGTCTGACCCCCATGCAGACTTTCAGCTCATCTACAGATAATCTCTCTCTCCCCCTTCCGACCTCCCACCACCTCTCTCTCATACCCTAGAACACAGTGCACAGCAATAATTTGAAAACCTTACATAGTGTTTGTTGTACTGCCTTATGCATCTTTCACATACTCATTTATTCTTACACTACACCCCAAATAGAACATTATTATTATTCTTTTAAGTTTCAAAATAAAGAAACTAAGGCATGGAGTGGTTAGGTACCTTGCCCAAGGTCACACAGCTATGAAATGGTGGTACTTGGAGAGGAGCCAGAAAGTCTAACTCCAGTCCCCATACTCAATCCAGTAACTCTATCTTCCTTCAAAGATTCTTGGTAAATGTTCGTTTCAACTGATTCGAGCATGACTCAGCACTGATGAATACATGCAAACATCTGGTTTTAGAGAATAAAGAATATTCTTAAAGTCTCAGATGCTTAAAACTTTTCTTGGGACATACATAAATTGTAATAGGCAAAGTTTTCTAAAAACTATCAAAAGCTTTGATTTGCACGTTATAAAAAATTCCATTTGATCACCAAAGGCCTCCTGGGGCACAAAACCTCTTCAAGCACATATGTAGAATGGCTGTGTTTTAGTAATCAGTTGTCACTACATACTTTCATCTAAAAAAACCCAGAAGCCTCTGGATGCAAGGTCAATGAGCTTTTTGTTTATCTGTTTTTAAACTGGCATCAGCCTTAGAGGATTTGAACATGAACTTGTTATCCTTGAAATAAACTGCTGCCTGCCAAAATCCACCCCCAAAGTTGCTCTGATAAAGCAGTAAACATCATCAGAAGACCCAACCTCTGTTAGTACCTTGATTCAAGCAAAGGGCTTAATACAGGGTGGAACAATTTTAAGGTCTCTCATAAAAGCATTGACTGCTGAAAGCAAAAGAAAAAAAAATTCAAGCCAACAGAGACTAAGGGGAAGTTGTATTGCTGAACTTCCATGCCCCTGTGTTTACAGAATGACCTCAGCATGGTTAGCAAGAGGGAACAAGTCCACTGTGGTCTGGGAGAACTGCCAGGTAAAGGGATGTGACAGAGAATGAATAGAATCTGGGATCTTAAGGTGAAAAAATATCATAAAAAAATCACCAGGTCTCTACAGTACCCACTGTGGTAATGATGATGACCATGACGATATAGTAATAATAAATAAGCTAATAAGACATGCGTGCCAGGGGTGCCTGGGTGGCTCAGTCGGTTAAGCATCTGCCTTCAGCTCAGGTCATGATCCCGGGGTCCTGGGATCGAGCCCTGCATCAGGCTCCCTGCTCAGCGGGGAGTCTGCTTCTCCCTCTCCCCCTGCTCGTGGGTACGGGCGTTCTCTCTCTCTCAAGTAAATAAATAAAATAATTGGGGGAAAAAAAAGACGTGCATACCAAACTAATTTTTTTCTATTAAGAAAAAAGTTAAATTGCCAAGTAGCAAAATCAAATATGTTGTTTTAAGATAGTAGAAGAGTGCAGTGAACATTTGTCTTATTTGTTCATTTGCTCATTCATTCATTCATCTGTTTGTTCGTTCTTGGCAGCTATAGTCTGTGCCCCTCCTCCAGTACTTGGATTTCCTGTGGGGAATTCACTCTTGCCTCACTCTGTGAAGTCTCAGTGGAACCCCAAGGTGCTTGGCCTAACTCCCTGGAAGTCAGAGGGGCTTCTTTGGCCAATCACTCATTCTAGTGCCCTGGTGGAGACAAAGGGCAGGCATGTGACATACAGCTCAAGCTCAGCCAGAGGACTTAATTTTTCCAAGGCTTTGATGTGAAGATAAAAAATACCTGGTGTAAGTTTACTTATTTGTTCCTGGGTGGGCGCTCGAGTGCTCTCAAGACAGATTATCCCGAAGCCTGTTTCCTGTCTGCTCTGTGCCAACTTCTATAGTGGCCCTTCAATTCTGTGCACCTTCCTCTACTCTTCCAATATTTTCCTTTTTCCCAAGCGATCCCAACTCTGTTTCCGTTGTTTGCTCCCAGAGTATAAGTGTTGGGTATCAGCTGAGCAGAGAACCAAGTAAAAACCACACTGACTGAATTGTGTAACTGGGTCTTAAGTGAGGACAGAAGCTGGAAGAGGGCACAGACTGGGAATCCCTGGAAACCTGGAAAAATCCTGTTGGGATCCTGGTGGGGCAGTGCCAGGGAGCCCAGGTGAAGGTCATTATGCATTAGTGAGGCGCCCTAAGGTCCAGAAAACACAGCACGACGAGCAACAGTCCCGAAGAATGTTTATACTTTACGACAAGTTTAGGGCTTTCAGGTGACGTTGTTACATTCAGAAACAGCTTCTATACCACACAGAAACCTACCAGGAGATGAGAAAAGTCTTCCATTTCTTTGTTCACAATTAATGTTCAGAATAAAGCAACTAGATCACAGATCACAACTTAATGTCCTGGAAGAGTCTAAAGAAAATGTCCTGCGTTCCTCTTCCTTCCTGCTGGGTGCTCACCTTTCTCATTGACTTGTCTGCATAATGAAGTTAGGCTTATCATTTCATTTTGTTTATAGCTGATTTTAGAGCCCAGCTCATCATTACGATGGTTCCACAGACCCAGAAACCTTCCCATGAACCTTATTTTCATAAATTCACTTAGAATGAGCTCACATTAAACTTTATTGAATACCATTTAAAAAACTAAAGCTAAAACCTCAAATAAAATTACATCTTCCACTTAAAACTTTACTTAAAAAAAAAACAAAACAAAACCAAAAACCCGTGGGTTAATGATTATTGCCAGACCCATGTTATCTCTTTTGTTTGGAAACAAATATGTAAGCAAAGAAATGCATGGGAAGAGCTTTGCTTTTCTCCATCTAATCGTACCTGAACAGGGACTCTCTTGACAGCCAAATTTCATTCTGCTTCACAGTTTTCCAGGAGAAAAGCAATAATAGCAGCACAGTGCACACGGTCAGCGTGGTGGCCCCGCATCGATTCAGCCAAGTGCAGAGCTTCCTCAATCCGTGCACAAAAAGGATGCAGTAGCCCATGCTGGGAAACAGAGGGAGAGAGGCAGGATTACTTCGGGGGTGCAGTGGAGTCCCCCTGAGTATTCGATCCCATATAACTAACTTTCAAATAAAACTTGCCCCGTGACAGAGAAGCAAATATAAACCCCCCCATCTTACACAGTATTTACATGTTGGTTCTCTGAGGCGCTATTCCAGCACATTGCTAGCCCTCTGGCATTAGTGTGGAGAGTAACAGGTTTATCGTTTAGGCTCAAACTGCCCTGGATTTCAGCAGCATCAGCAGACGTCCCTTTTGTGTGTTCTTGGGTCGTGAACAGACCCTCTGACTCTCGCTGTCTTTTGTCACTGACATTGTATAACCATATTGGCACCACGAGTCTAAATCTAGACTGTGTCACAGCGGGTGACGTCGTGGCTTTGTGAGAGCCAGTCCCCCCAAGAGCTCCCTATCAGCACCTGGGAGGAATGCTGGTCACCAAGGAGCACTGGCAGTCTGTCTCTAGGGATGTGCCGCCTGGCATGTTCCCACTCTGGTCAAAGTCCTTATGTGGAAGGAAAATCATCTATCCACAGGCCAGCTCCTGAGCACTGCGGCTTGGAGCCCATCACAGACAAACCGTTTTGATAGGATTTTCTTGCTGACTCTGGCTCAGCTTTCTAAATAGACATGAAGAATCTCTCATGTTATCTGAGTGGCGTGTCGATAGCACAGCTCTAAAAACCTTTGGCTGGAATGTGGTCCCTCACATCATCTATGCAGTCGACTGGCCTCAGAAATCACAAACATTTAATTTGTATCCATCAGCCATGAGCATTTCAGTTAAGACCCACTTCTTTCCCTGGATAATAGACTACAAATTATTACGGAATATTTTAAGAATGAAGCCAGCTTGTGTAAAGAAATCCTACATCAGTTAGACATTAGTGCCATAAGAAGCCCAAAATTAATATAGCCCATTTACTTGTTCAATTATTTATTCATTCTCTCTCTATATGTGACTGGCAATATAGTGGGCATTAAGAATCCAATTATGAATAAGCCACAGGTCCTGCCCTCAAAGAACTCCGGTCTACTGGGGCAGATTGGTTTTGTAAAGGAAAACACTTAAATAGTCTCATTTCTAAACATATCTCCTTTAAAAAAAAAATCTCTCCACTTCTGTTCCCTTTTCTAAATGTCTATGGTACCAAGGGTAGAAAAACAAGAGAAGCATTTGAGGTTTCTGACATGGAGATGCTGGGAATCAGTTCACGTTCGAGCTGCAATTCCATACTTCAAATCCCCTAAGTCGGTTGGTCCAGCTCCTTAAACTTTGAGGGTTCACTGTTAGGCCAAACAAAGGGAGTCACCACCCCACTTACTAGATTTGAGCTAAGGAGGCTGGATTTGATTGCCATAAGCACTGTGCAGAAACCTTGAACATGCTAGAACATAGAGTCACTAACACAAAAATAATAAAACCCCAAAGGGCTCCTGGGTGGCTCAGATGGTTAAGCGTCTGCCTTCGGCTCAGGTCATGATCCCAGGGTCCTGGGATCGAGTCCCACATCGGGCTCCCGGC